GAGGATAGGTCATGTGTCTTCTTTCGGCTTGGGAACTGAAGCATTGGCCCTACATAGACCATGAAGATGGGCTTCCTGGCAGTTTTTGGACCTGGGTTCGACGAGATGACTTCAGATCAGTAGATGCAGCGATGAAATCTAGTAACTAAACCACTTCACATACCATAATATCTAAGTTTTAATTCTTAATCCCAATGTTATAATTGTGATCTGTTAACACTATTATAAATGTCCTTGAGACAGATTTTAATATTTTTCAATAAAAAGAATGTTATAATATTTCATGGCAATAATTCGCAAAACAGTCCATCTGAAATTATACTTGCACAATCATGTTTTTATTTAGTTTATTGTATATAATATTTGCACATTAAGATTTCAGTGTTATTTGAAATTCTCGATTAAACATAGAAATAAATTAGGTTTTTTAGTAAAAGCTATTTTAATTCTACCACCGATTTATATCGTGTGAACATAGGTAATGTTGGTAATTAGAAAGCAAGATAAACACAAACCACCCTTTAAGAAAAGAAAACCAATTAATTAATCCTAGACCAATCAATATATTATAGATCCAAATTTGTTCTATTACTTTTTTATTAATCATTTCTGGGTAATTACCATCAATAATTATCCAGTGGCATCCTATATAAAATTAAATGCCCCAAAACTTGGTACAATATTATTATATTAATATATCATAAAGAATATAATAAATTAAGCATAAACAATTAATACACCATTAAAATAAATTTAAGTAAAAGTAAATAATGACCAAGTTTTAAAGGTTGAAATTTCTTCAGAAATAGCACAGAGTATATAAGAAAAATATCTAGTAAAATGTTGACTCATATTATTTGTCTACCTATTTTCAAAAAAAAAAAAAAAAAAATGCACTATATGTATAATTTTATTTTTTTAAAAGTTTTTTATGAAATATTATTTCGTTTAAAATCTTTTCATAATTTTACAATGAAATACTTTATTGAATATTGTAAAATTTTTGAGTTATGCCTAAAAATAACTTTCTTTTCTTCATAACTTTTTTTTCTATTTATTCTTGGAAATGTACGTATATATATACGTACACTGCCAAGTATGTACATTACGTACATATATATATATATATATATATATATATATATATATATATATATATATATATATGAAAATTATTTTAATTTAAATTTTTTTGTTGCCTGCAGGGTTTGGGCCATTGGCAACACCTTTTTTTGCTCTCTGTTATTGAATTTATTATTTTAAAAAAATTGAAAATTAAAAGAGCTTGGAGCATCCAATTTTCATCGAGATCATAAAAGTCTTTTGTCGGATAATTCCCAACATGTCACACAGACATTGGTGACCAAAAAACAATATAGAATTATTCAAAGCGAAGATCTCTCGTGATGAAGCGAATATATTATTTTATTCTCAGAATTTTCAGAAACTTTCAAATGCATGACAGTAAACTAGAGTAACGTTGTCACTATGCTGCTACAAGATACAAGTGGACAGTCCCGCAAATCACATTTGCCGAGCTAGCCGTAATCCCAGTGGAGGTGTCGGTAGCCAATGGGGCTCATCATACATAAGTGATGAGCTGCACTCCTCAATTCATAAACAGGGTAAGCCTTTGATAGAGCAGTGGATCGTTGTCATCAAAATGTTATATATTTTCAGAAGAGTATTAAATTAATTTAAAAGTTTTTTCTCTTAACACCAAAATTAAGGGCAGAGTTGTATTAATGCAAGATGTAAAAAAAAAAAAAGAAATTTTTACGAAATGAACATTTACCCTTTTTTTTCAATCTATGATGGTACCAAAATCATATGTTTTAAAATTTTTAATATCAAAGATTTAATATTTTTGAAGAGAAGTTGGATGTTCAACCAAAATGCAAAGTAAAAATAAATAAATTATATTTATAATTATTTTGCCGAAGTTTAGGCTCAGAGTTCAGGTCTTCATCAGCGCTGATCTCACGATGTACATGGTAAACAAATGTATTCAGTTTTTCAATGGTTTAAAATTTCCAAACAATTATACATATAAAGTAACATTAGATACAAAGAAAAATAAATAAAAGGTGATTCTAATTATTGGACTAAACATTTTTTATTTGATCATTGGCAATATGCTAAAAAAAATTGGCATTACTTCAGTAACAAATTTAAAATTCAAAAACCAATACAAAGGATATAATCTTTGAAGTAGAACATATAAAAAACATCTAGAGATCATATCATTGCTCCTAATTGCCCGATTTTAACGATTTTTTGGAAATTACGTAAACTTTTAAATACAATGTCAACAAAAAAGTATGTACTTTTTGAGTTATTCGAATTGCAGCTTCTTTTCGTATGTTGTATAGATAAATTTAAAGGGCATCAAAAAGAAGACTTTATCCGAGTTTCATTGAAACTTTCGTTTAGGCGCTACAGTCTATAGCAACGCAGGTTTTTCGGTCGCTATCTTGTGTGGAAAAGGCGGATAGAAATGTCGATGATAGAGAATCATCCTCGGGTGACTTCTAATTTTAAATTCAAATTTGAAAAAAATGGTCCAGTAGTTTCGGAGAAAATGCGCGAACAGGGGACGGCGGACGGACAAACATTTTTTCGATTTTCGAATTCTACGTACCCTGAAACGTAAAACCTCAAATTTTCAAAGGGGTTTAAGTTTTTGATTTTTCTTTCTTTCACAAGAGTTCATTATTGAAAATAATATAGCAAAACCACAAACAAAAATCGGAACTGGCAAAAAAAAAATATTTTGTCCAGATAATATTGATAATCATTTTTAACAGAAAACTTTATGTTTGAAAATGACTAAGTCGCCTAAACATTACAAAAATATATGCTGATGTAACTAAATATTGTTTTTTTTTAATATTGAAAGAATTTTTATGTGTTATATTTTATTTGTTCAGTTAGTTGTTTTAAACTATGTTTTTAAATATTGTTTATACTTAGTTCATTCCAGCTTGACCATGCATAAATTTAGAGTATTGGTTGAATAATAAATTTATTCAGAGAATTGCTGTATCCTTAATTATAATATTCATATTTTTATAGTTATTTAACGCATTTATTGAGTATATTTAAAATGAATACATTAAGTTTTTGAAATAGGAAGAAACTCCTGGCCACAGTATTTAAATACTGGTTTTTTAATAAGGTCGTTTTATAATTGTACCACCTACATATACCATAATTATTACAGGTAATGAACGTAATTGAAAAACACAAAATCAACCTATAGAAATGGAATCCAATTAAATCTGGATCAAATATTATATTACATATTTCAATATATTTTATTCCGTTATTAATGATTATAATTGCATATTTTTGGATCATTATGCTCAACAGTGGCATTCCGATAATTAATGTCGAAAACCACTGCAATGTCGAAATATTAAACTGATTGTAAGTCCACATACCAATATATGTTATTTTTAATTATTTCGCTAGCAAAAAAAGTTGATAACATTCTCTATGGCGAAATATATACAATATACTAATATAATATAATATAATATTATGCATATGCTTAAAATAAAGACCAATCCAAAATATGTGCAAAATAAAATATTTTTCTGTTGTGAGGAAGCAGCTTTTAAGAGAGAGAAAAACTTATTTGAAGCACTTCTCGATAACTTTTCGAATTTAAAATTAGAAAATTTCTAATTAGAAAATTAAAGAATAAAAAGGATTCAGCACTTCCAGTTGAAGTACAAATATATTTTTTGGAGAATTTGGAGAAATAAAAGGAGTGTAACATCTTGTATACCGATGCTTCAAAAGTAGACAGGGAAATTAGATGCTTGGTTCTAAATTCTAATATTAAAAAATTATTTAAATTCCCTGAGGCTTGCTCAAATTTTAATGGTAAAATGGTTGCCATTAGAGAAACTATTAAATAAATAGAGACAAGTGAAACTACCAATTGCGTCGTGGTGACAGACTTTACGATTACATTACTATCCATTAAACATACCAGGCCCAAAACCACTCTTGCAAACGAAATAAGAAACGTTTGGTGGCTACTAAGGGAGAAGAGAAAAGAAGTAGTGTTCATTTGGGTACCTTCGCATTGCGGGATCATCGGTAATGAACAAGTTGATCAAGCAGCCAACATGGCAAGAAAGCCAGATACAATATCCGTGAAATCAATTAATGAAATCCCTCTAGAGGATTACGTAAAAAAAATGAAGGAGGTTGTGTGCAAAATGTTGAAAAAAAAAGAATCAAAATTAAAGGAAGGTAAAATCCACTATTTAAAATGGGAAACCTCCCACCGATTCTCTAGAAAGGAAGATACAACCCTCTGTAGACTAAGAATTGGACATTGTAAGTTCTCCCACGCCTACATACTAAGAGGATTTGATCCTCCGACCTGCAAGGGTTGCAATGTCCAAATGGCAGTAAAATATATTGTACAAGACTGCCCTATATTTGAAACTGATAGGAAAAAGATGGACATGGATCAAAGCCTATATCTACAAGACAGCGAAAGATCAGTTAAAAAATATTAAGATTCTTAAAAGCGATAAAATTTTAAAATAGAGTTTAATTTGAAGGTATTGCAAATGACCCTATAGGGTAGAGATATAAAAAAAAAATACTATATTAAAAATATATGACTAAAAGAAGTTTCGTTGAATATATTAATATTGTGGAGTAAATGTTCGATATACAGCGAGGTGCTGTATTTTATTTGTTTAGTTTAATACCCGGATTCCAAAGTTGGCTGTTATAATCCGCTTTTTCAGCCCAATAGAAGCATTAGCCCATGTTATAATATTATAGAAGGGGGGAGGGGACTTCCAATATAGGAACCACAATTCAGAGGTGAACGAATTTGAACACCGATAGACCAGCCGACATTATTGGCATCTCTGGTGCGGTATATTTTAATCTCTCTCCCCTTCCCCGATATAATTTTATTAACGGTCTAATCCCCTAGGGGCGGTTATAATCTTGGGTCAGCTGAGATTATGTTCATTGGATATTGGGTGAATAGGGGGAAGGGGGGACGTAGGTATAAGGTGTTGGCCAATGAGGACGCCCGAATTCCTTCCAGTGGAAATTCCAGGGCTGGATCCCGGCCAGGTTACATTGTAATAACGGTTCCGATAAGCCCAGCTACTGGAGTCCCTGTCATCCTAACTAACAACAACCGGCCAACAAATGTCCTCTGGAGAAAGCGCTTCTCTATCTCAACCTCGGGTATTAACTGAATTGCTCCGCCTCATCTTGTAACCCATTCAACTATATTAGATCTGTCTGATATGATATCCAAATATAATAATACAACGGCTTTAGATTCTACGCTACTGATACACGATTTAAACGTTTACGCCAATATCAACGTGTGCTATAGACCACACGATAGAAGTGAAAACATCAACAAGGAGATAAATAAATTTATAATATCAAATATAAATTATAAATAATAACTCATAACAGAGAGGATCAAATTCTGAACATTTTCCTCCCTTACAGTATGCAGTTCCGATTTTTAGTATCTGAGATATTTTAAGTCATATGCGAAAAAAACTTCAATTAATCGACACCAGCAAACTTTACCGGAGCGTTACATATCGGACATCTGACGGCTCAATCCAATTCACTATCCACAAAAAGAAAGTGGAAAACGCGCCTAAAAAAAGATTTAAATTCAAAAAATGGATTTTTTCAAAATCTGTTTTCTCATACTTGGCAGAAACACATACAATCGATTACTATGCTGTATGTATGAAAATTGTATTTTTTTTTTTTTTTTTTTTTTTTTTTTGGTTTTATGATTAATAATACAAGGTCTGTTGGTGTAGTGCTTATCACTGACAGCTGAATTTTACTTTAATTTTTTTTACCTACAATACTTATGTTTCTCATACCTTGTTATCTGGTTCTTTTCTTAGCCCTGATGATGGGCTGAACTTCAGGTCGAAACGTCGGCTAATGTAAATAGATAGTATCATCATATAAATACATTTTTTTTTTTTTTTTTTATAATTGTTTATTTAGAAATATTACATTCTGTCACATCAAGGACATTTATAATAGTGATCAGAGAAAGCACACTCACACTCTATTTACAATAAAAATAAATAAATAATACAGAAACTTAATAATAATAAATACAATAAAATAAAATTAAAATAAATACAATAAAATAAAATAAATGTATATAAACAAAAGAACTAACCTAATCATACACACTCGGGCTTGAGTGGAGGATCTGGCCATTGCCAAAACTCCAATAGATGCTTATTTACAAAAGGTCTCTGGGCCACTGCCGCTTCAACCTTCGAGGAGGATTGTAAGGATGGGTGGTGCTGGATAGAGATTGTGCAAGGGGATTTGGATGATAGGTAAGGTTCTGGTGAAATTTGGAGAATTTTTCTGGAATAAGGTCTAGGACAAATGGGATATTAAGGTCATGGTGTAGGATTTTGTTATTTACATAGAACGGAGCATCAACTATAGTTCGAAGGACTTTAGATTGAAAGGATTGAATACGTTTGATGTTAGAAGCTTTTGCTGTCCCCCACAGTTCAAGTCCGTATGTCCATATAGGTTTCAGTATTGTCTTGTAGATAAGTAATTTGTTTTCAATAGAAAGTTTGGATTTTCTGTTTAGTAGTCTGTATAGCTGGCCGTATCGTCGGTTGAGTTCTTGTCTTTTGAGTCTAGTATGTGGGTTCCACGTTAGTCTTCGGTCTAAATGAAAGCCAAGATACCGGACTGTGTCTGAGTAAGGAAGCTGGATGGAATTAAAGTGTACTGGTGGACAGGAACTGCGTCGGAGTGTAAAGGTAATATGTTGGCATTTAGATTCATTAACTTTAATGCGCCAGTTATTACACCAGTGCTCAATCAAGGTGAGGTGGTTTTGGAGATTTAAGGATGCTATGTTGGGATCAGAGTTGGATGATAAGATTGCGGTGTCGTCAGCGAATGTTGCAAGAAAAGTATCGGGATGAACAGGGATGTCAGCAGTAAAGAGGATGTAAAGCACGGGACCCAAGACGCTGCCTTGGGGAACACCGGCTTTAACGGAGTAGATATTGGAAAATTCTGTTCCACAGCGAACTCGGAAGGAGCGGTCAGAGAGGTAGGATCGGAGGACTAGGTACAAGGACTGAGGTAAATGGATTTTAAGCTTGAAGAGCAGTCCGGAGTGCCATACCCGGTCAAATGCCTGTGCAATGTCCAGAAATGCACCCGAACAGTATTCCTTGTTTTCTAGGGCTGAGGAAATATGATCAACAACTCGGAGTCCTTGTTGAACAGTAGAATGTTGGGAGCGAAAACCAAACTGATGGGAAGGAATATTTTGGGATTCTATAATGGGTAGGATTCGTTTCAAAAGGATCTTTTCAAAAATTTTTGAAAGGATTGGGAGTAGGCTAATTGGTCTATAGGATGTTGAGATATTGGGAGGTTTGCCTGGTTTTTGGAAAAGGATAATAGTGGAGTGTTTCCATAGCAGAGGAAAGTGGGTGGTGCGTAGGATACAATTGTAGATATATGTAAGGAATATGACTGCTTTGGATGGAAGTTGTCGAAGGATTTGAGGGGTAAGGAGATCATGTCCAGGAGCTTTACGGGGGATTAATTTTTTTAATTGAAATTTCACTTCGGAAGGATGAATAGCTTTTGGGGGCAAGGAAAGTGGGATTGGTGATGTAAGGAGTTCTTCTACTGTTACGGTGTGGGCAGGATGGGATTCCGGATGTGAAATAAATGTATTGGATAGGTGAATGGCGAACTCCTCAGCCTTATCTTCGTCAGATGCTGCCCAGGAGCCATCATCTCGTCGGAGGGGATGGGAAATGCGGTGAGGATTTAAGATTTTGGTAGTGGTTTTCCAAAGGGAATTGTCGCGAGAAGAAAGGGAGGATAGGTAGGAGTTGAAGGAATGTGATCTGAAGGTGGCTAATTTCAGTTTTAATTTTTTGCAGTAATAATTATAGGAGCAGCGGTCGGTAGGATGTCGGGTACGTTGCCACAATAATCTGGCACGGCGTTTGGTTTGGATTAGGTCAAGGAGGTGTTGGGGTAGAATGGTCTTTTTAGGAATTCTGGAGGAGTCTTTTGGGAAGGAAGCAGTCCAGGCGGCTTGTTGGATTGTGGTAGTAAAGGAATTTACGGCACTATCAAGGTCATCGGGAGTTTTGAGGGATATGTTAAGATCAATTTTATCGGAGATGATTTGGCGGAAAAGGTCCCAGTTAACTGGGCCCCTAATAAATGACGGTGGAGAAGGTTTGGGAACGGGTTCAAGTGAAACATTAAGGATTAGAGGACTATGGTCAGAGGAAAGTTCATTTAGACGTGTAATGGAACAATTGAGGGGACTTAAGCCGCTGTGGATAAAGAAATCAAGAAGATCAGGATTACGGTTGGGATCTGTAGGCCAGTAGGTAGGAGAGTTGGGGGAAAGGAGGTGAAAATGTTGGGAATTGAGTGCAGACAGCAGGGTTCGGCCACGAGTATTCGTGGTTCTGGACCCCCATTGTTGATGTTTGGCATTTAGGTCTGCACCCAAGATGAAGTGATGTCCTAAGGAGTCGAGGAGAGAACGGAATTGGGCATTGGATATGGATCGGTTAGGAGGGCAATACGCTGATGCAAGGGTAACCGGAAAGGAAAAGGTTTTTATCACGATAGCGGTGGACTGTAGGAAATCATGTGTAGGTAACGGGAGTAGGTGATGGGAGAGGGATTGGTGTACAATGACAGCAGTACCGGCATGTGCTTTTCCGTCAGGGTGGTCAGTACGATATGTCAGGTATTGTGGTATTTTGAAGTGCTGTTTAGTGGTTAGTCGAGTTTCAGTAATTAGTGCCACGTCAATATTTTTGTCAAGTAATAATGTAGTTAGTTCGTTTGTGTGATTCCTAACACCATTCGCATTCCAAAGGAGAATGGATAAAGGTTTATTGGAAGTCATTTAAGGATTTTTCGCGGGAGGGATAAAATGTGATACAAGATTGGTGAGAAGAGATATCAAAGGAGTAACAAGGGATCTGAATTCGGAGAGGAAAGATGTAAGTAAACTGGTGAGATCTGTGGTATTTGAGGGAGGAGGAATGCGGGGAATTTGGTGTTGATAAAACTGTTGATTAGGTGAAGTTTGATTAGGATGTTGAGGGTGGGGTTGAGAATTTTGAGGTATGTGTTGTTGTTGCGGCAGGGTCTCACAATAAGTAACATCATTCTTACCTCCTAATAAGTGTGCAAAAGACACCGTTGGGTCAATTTTTTTTGAAGGTCCTCTTCTTGATGCGTTAGGTTCTCTTCTTGATGCCTCTGCTTCTTCTTGGGTCCGGGATTTTTGATATCTTGATTTAATATTCTTGTAGATCTGACAGCCTTTGTAGTTCGCTGGATGTCCTTCAAGGCACAATGCACAAACTGCAGGATCCCGTTTCGGTTTTGTGCACTCCCCGGATTTGTGCTGCTCTCCACATTTCACACAGCGCGGCAGATGATGGCAGTAAGTCCTGGTATGGCCATATGCCTGGCAATTGTGACACTGTACGATTTCCCTCTTAGGATATGGCTTCTCTACTATAACACTTGTGTAGTATATTCTTCTTATTTCGTATATTTTTTCGATCCCTTGATTTGGCTCCAAATCTACGAAAAATAAGGGTAGAGGAACTTTTACTCCTGGCTGTTCTTTACTCTCCTTCTGTACATTTGTAATCTGGCGCACTATGAAACCTAAAGTTTTCAATTCTTCTTCTATTGCTTCGGTTGGTGTTGAGGGGTGTAGATTTCTTATGACTACCCTCAAAGCTCGATCTTGCCGTAATTGGTACGTATGAAAATCCGCGTTGGTTTCCGTTAGATACTTCACAATTTTTCTGTAGGTTTCAGCTGTATCTGGTGATATCTTCGTGTCCTTTGTTCTGCTTAGACATGAATAGCTTCCAGAGCCTGTTATTTTGTTCAGTTGTGAGCATAGTAACTGAAAATTGTTTATGTTTTTAACGAATATGGGTGGAGGTCGGGGATCTCTTGGTATTGAAGCGGATTCCATCACTTCTTTATCATTCTGAAGCACCTGATAGGAGTTAGGGGTGAAAAACGGAGATTGTTCGGTTATCTCTTGTGAAGATGTACCTGGTTGATGCTGAAGTTCTTCAATTGTTGGTTTTGATGATGTTCCTGGCTGGGTTTCATTTTCTCTGGAGCTAATAGGCGTTACTGCAGGTGTTTGACG